CGGCGATTGCAAAGCCAATATCTCCGACAAATACCCACCACTGGGTTTGTCCGCCGTTTCCAAGGCGCTACATTTTCTAGAGAAAACATTCCACTCAAAACTTTCACCAAAATGTTTTTTGATCTCTTACTATGGCAAGAAAACCACAACGCTCTCACTGTCAAAAAAACAGCCATTATTTTTTTCATCTCAACCGGCAATTTTGCCTCAGAGCCAATGACATTGCGCGAAATAGATCACGTGTCATTTTTAGTAGAGCATGCGCAGACATTTTTCGCCGGTGAAAGTCTAATCCTTGGTCTACTGGGTTAAAACCAACAGCGAGAGGTCGAAACATCGCAGTCTATGTTTGTAATCAAAAGCGGGAGATCATTTCATTCCGTGCAGGTGTTAAGATACAATCAAAATTTTAAAATTGTCGACTTGCACAAAGAAGAAGCTTTATTTGTGAGCATGAAAGTGATTTAATCAAACTTTTCACGTAGATTCTTTTTTTACATCATTTCCATTTATAAATTATGAAAAGTATTACAATTACTAAAATTTTCAAATTAATCACCATAAATATTTGTATACCCTCCACTCAGGGTGTGTATAAGAAATAATTCTTCTTTTACGATAATTCATCATTTGACTCGGCAATAAGCCCCAAGTTGACTCCCACGACGCCAGCATCTGCCTCGTGAGTTGCTTCGCTGTAGTCGATCGTCATTATGCTGGAGAACTCGCCCTCGTCGCTGTTCGTCGACAAAGACGTTTTTCCGACTTTCTCCGAGGAGCCGACGATGGACCGGTCGTTCGGTTGTTTGGACTCTGACTCGCCTGGATCGACTGGCTCGTTTAAAACGGACTTTTTATCAGAGACGAGGTTCGACAAAGTAAGTTTTGATTCTGGAGAAGAAGACTTCTTCGCCAGTCTGGCTGGTTCAACGAGTTCCTCGATAGCGCGTCCGACAACTTCGGGCTTCTCTATGTCGCTCTGTGCTTCGTCTTCAGGGGACCCGGCAATTTCTTTTTCAGGAGCCAAATCTGCCTTGCTGAGCTTCAATTGCTGGGGTGAAAGAAGCTTCTTCATTCGTTGGGCAAGTTTCTTTGTGGAATCTTTTTCACCTATTCCGACAAAACGAGAATTCCAAGGCGAAGAAGCACGCTTATTGGATGCCTCTTTGACTACTTCCGCTTTAGCATCGTCTTTAATGCCTTTTTGATTCAAAACAGGCTCGTCAGACTGGATTTTTGAGAGGGCTGCGTCTTCGAATGTAACGTCTTCAGCTAAATCAGCCATGTCGTCTTCAAAGACTGCGTTTTCAATGAGTCGGCGTTCTTTAACCAAGGCTGACTGGGTGGCAGCGTCTGTGGTTATGGGACTTGCTGAGGTTTGGCCACTGGAAGTGGTAGTTGCTCTTGTCTTGGGATTAGCTTTTGAATTGGGCAAAGGCGTTTTTGTAGGGGACCTGGGAGTAATGCCAAGTGGTTTTGAAGGGGACCTCGGAGTGATGCTAGGTCCCGACTCAGCGCCTGGAAACGTACTGGGATAAAGGCCAGGAGGTAGAAGGTAATGCGGCGGAGGACAAAACTTGACTCTGAATTCGATGGAATGTGTCAAAAAATCCAACATTTCTTGTTCATCGAAGTGTTCTAAACATTCAAGTAGAAGTTCGCGAAGTCCTTTCCTTTGCTCAGGCGTGAATTCCTCATCTTCCATAACTCCTGTAGAAAAAAGTGCCCAGAATATAACCTTTTTTTCACAAAAACTTATTAACTGAACTGCTCTACCTGCTATCACACACATACAACGTTTTATAAGCCATTATGTAATACAGAAAATAACTTAATAGTTTTATCTCTTTAATTAGGTATCAACTTAGAGAAAGCTCATTAAATTACGAGCGTGAAACTATTTTATTGAAAAGCTCTGTTAAAATTTATCCGAATGTACTAAGGGATTTTAAAAAACCTTTCCTTTTGCCAGATATAACCTACAAGATTTCCTGTAAATAATATATAAT